CATGCCGGTGTCAAGAGCCATCTATACAGATTCAACATGAGCAACACAGATCAATGTACCACCTGCAATGCATCGGATACAATAGCGCATTTTCTTCTGGATTGTCAACGTCATGCACTGCCAAGACAAGAGCTACAACGTAATTTAAGATGCATTAATGTCGAATTTACTCTATGTAATTTGTTGGGGGGAGGTAATCATAATGATAATGTACAACAGAAAATATTTCGATTTTTTACTCTATTCATATTGAAGTCAGGCAGGTTAGGCGAGCTGTAGGTTGCCATGCAACAGCTGTACACAAGCATGCATGGCGGCCATGTACACATCTGACTACTGCCACTTATATTCTGCCTGCTGGTATCGTTGGCATACTTATAAACATCTAGACAAGTCTTTTAGGTATTTGAAGTAGGTAGCTGAGCTAGGGAGGCTAAATCAGCATTCATTTACCTTTCATGCTTTGCCTCAATTGAGCTTCTAATTTTAAGTCCATTTACTAATACTTGTATCCTTCAAACTCCTCAAATCTTGTACGGAGCTACTAGAGAACCGATCTCCCTTAAGAGAGCACAGACTAGCTTCCTGTACTAAGAGGCTAAAAACTTAACAAGCAACAAGCCAAGCTCTCAGGCCCAGCGGTCATCCATCAGGCAGACCTGTGGCTTTATGTCCACCACAGTGTGGACCCCCTGCTAAGAAGAAGAAGAAGTAGGGTTAAACTTGAATATTATCAAATTATATTGTTCTAAATCCCAATTAGACTCCTTAATTTTAATGCATTGTAACAGAGATGGCGAAAAATGCAAAAGAAAGTAGAATTGCGCTTGCGTATGCTGAAATACAAAAAGCAATTGAAACTGAAAGTTACAGCAAAGTACTGAAAGCGGCGAACAAAGGCAAGTCCTTATTTATATGTTGTTTTTAATTTTGTTCCATGTATTATTACTTCACAAGGATGACAACAAATGTACAATAAATTTAAATTAAGCTTTCTACATAAGAAACAAGGTTTAGCTGCAACTGCAATGCTGCATTTCTCACTGGAAACGGGCCAGAAGGTCATGCCTTCATCATAGTTCAACATCATAGGTAGTTCATGTGTGAAAAATATTGTCTTTTCAAACTGATAGATTATCTCTTAGACTTTCAGGTAAAAATTTAATTTTTTAGAAATGATGGTTACCAATTTTCACATTAAATAAACTTCTTCATTAGCTTGATGAAACCATGCCAGATGAGTTTTAATTGGAAATGACAGTAAAGTTTACTCTAATTTCTGGCCAATGGCAGCTGCAGTGGACTGTGGACATAGGTTTTGAAAGTGACTACAGGGAATGGGACTGTAGTTCTGAGGAACTGTGCAAAGTCGGGAGTGATGACTATATTGGGACAGTGGGACTACATTCCCATAACAGGGAATGGGATAAGGGATTTCTGGAAAATTGGGCAAAGCTGCAGAAGCCACCTATGAGTTGGACAAAAAGACCTGTAAATCTGGCCAATTTTACCCATTCTTATGGCCTTTTTCCAATTTTTTCAGTGAAAAAAAAGGTGGCCTATCCCTATTTTAACCAGCAATTTTTCAAATTCACTTGTGATTGTTATTTGTTAAACCTATTTGGAATATTGCACTGGAATTTTAAAAAAAGTATAGATAAAATGTAATGCTTCACATGTGATTTCTTAAAATTTTTGTTGAAAAAAGGCCATTCTTTTTAGTTTTTACAGAAGAAATTTTGAAAAGTACACAGGATCAATTAAAATTTGGCAGATTCACAGGCATTTTCTAATTTTTCATCATGTGTTTGATACTTTTTGAACCTTAACTAATACAAAATTGTAATTATCAAGTCAATATTTAATGGTATTGTTATTTTGATATTATATTTGTATTTCCCATGTAAATTTACATTAGAGTAATGTGTGTTTATGTTATTTTGTTGAAAAAGCTTTAATTAAATAAAGTTTTTCCTTTGTACTCACTACTCAGTACTCACTGTATTCTTTTTCCCCCTGCTGTAGGTTAACACATATGTATATAATCACTGAACTGGAAAATATGGCTGATGACATCTGTTTCTATTGCCTAATTTCTGTAATGAAAAGAAAAATTAAACATTTTTTGCCATTGATCTTCAGAAATAGCCCATGAAATAATTGTTTTCTCCAGCCATTATTTTACTCCATTTTCAATTTTAGGAAATTCCAACCAATATGCATTGACATAGCCAGACATTTAGGGAAGGAAGATGAAGGACTACAAAAACTCTGCATATTTAATTTAAAACTATTATGTTGGGAGTAAATAGTATTTCCTTCTGTAGTTCCATCCCTCTTGCTCATCTGTGAGTGACACGGCAATTAACAATCTTGCATGGGACCTTCTCTATGTTGCCTGACTTGACGTTCATATGATCATAGCTACCGTAACCGAAGCTGATTTCTGAGGGCCTGCAAACCTGTTTCTAGTTGCCTGGAACGTTTTTTTTAAGGCTGAACCCTTTTTTTATGTGAACCACGAATTTTAGAATTACAGCCTGCTTTAGGGGTGTCCCATATTACCCCCGGGGGATGTCCCTTGATGCCTTGTTGCAGGCTGGAATTCTAAAATTTGTGGTTCACATAAAAAACATTCTGCCTTGAAAAAAAATTTTCTGGGCAACTAGAAACAGGTTTGCAGGCCGTCAGAAATTGGCTTCGGTTACGGTAGCTATGATTGAATGAACGTCAAGTCAGGCAACACAGAGAAGGTCCCATGCAAGATTGTTAATTGCACGCGTCACTCACAGATGAGCAAGAGGGATGGATCTACAGAAGGAAATACTATTTACTCCCAACATAATAGTTTCAAATTAAATATAAAAAAAAACATTTATGGCACCTATTCGTTACCTCAGCTTTCAAATTGAGGAGAAACTCATCGGCAGTAGGAGAAACTTCTCGAAGAAAAGGCAATGCACAACAAACAATATGACACTTCACAGTTGACTGACTAGAATAGACTCAATACTCAATAGAGTACTCAAAAGTCGAAAATTTAGCATTCAAACCTTTAGATTCTGTGAACCATGTGATTTCTTCATTAATAAAACTTTAGAAGGCTCACAATATATCACCTAAAGTTTTCACTCAATTATCGTCTCAAAGTTCTGGAGCTTTATCTGCAGTAATGTTCTGTAGTTACCTTACCCACCGATTGCTTAATGAGAACTAACCACTAACCATCATTAGATTCCTGCCACTGTTGCACACGATTGATTCTGCATGCATGTATAATATTTACAAAGGTTATTAAACCATTCTGATTTCTGTTGAATGTCAGTTACTGATAAATTTTTAATATAGAAGAATTCATATCTTTCACTTTTTCACATGACTATTAATAACTATATTGATGTCGGTTTCACAATTGGTTGCCGGTGCTGTTGGTATCTCTGCTACCTTCTTTGTTTACGTTTTTTGTTCGGCTGATTGCAACGAAAGGAGATTGTATGTCTCAGCTGATTGCATTGGTTGTCAGTTTTGTATCTGTGGATTGAATCATAGGCAGTTTTTCATGTATTTGTGAATGAGTGTACATTCTTTCTCACATTCTTTGCAATTTCCATCAATAATGACATAACTACACTATTGTATTATGCTCTTGAAATAAGAATTGTAGCATTACCCATTAAGTTAGCATCAGTGCGTTAACATTGTGTGCATTTGAGGTGGTCCCTTCTAGCTTTCTATCGCTGATTGGATTCCAGTGGCTGTGACGCTGCACACGTTCTAGCGATGATTGGATCCCTGTGACAGTACGTTGGACGCGTTCAAGCATTGATTGGATTCTTGTTACTGTGATGATGCAAACTCTGTTTTTTTTCAATGAAACTGCTGTGGCATCTTGCAGAGACTCATCAGCGATGATGATGGACTGAAAGTGGAAGTGTGCTGGACATTCCAGATTTTTTGGGTCCTGCTTTCTGATTTGCTATGTTTACCAGTTGATATATTACCCCTCTGGAATTCCATACTGCCCTAAAGACACATTTACAGTAGAACCTTGGTTAACAAAGGCTCCAATTAACAAAAAAAAATTATTAACAACAAAGAATTTTGATTACATTTACCTCACTCAGCAAAAAATATTTCACTCAACAAAAAGTTTATGCATCATCGGTCATCACAAAATTGTGCATATCATGTCATAGATAGAATTGTGCACTGGGCAACATAAAATGGAAAGTAATTAACCTAAACTATGATTTATTTCTATAAAAATGTTACGGTTGTCACTAAAATATTCCTTTCCATTTCAGGTATGTTTTTAGCACATTTTCTCATTTATGTAAAAAATGCACTATTGTGCTCACCATGTCCATCTGTTTGTTTTTCTCTGTCCGTCCGTGACTTCATGTTTTCATCAACGAGAAAATGCGCTCTCTGTCACTCACTGCAGTGAGTACTGAGTTATATTTTTTATAACCTATTTTTGTTATAGTGAATTCACTTGACCCAATTGAAATGGTGCAAAATTGCAAGCCCAGTCCTGTAAGCTTACAGATACAGAAGAAGTGCTATATGGCTTGCAGTGGACAAGGTTGTTGTCAATGTTCAATGGAATTTCCATGGATCCGGTAATATCACATCAATAATACGGTAAGGTATGGATATGGTAATATCATATCAATTAAGGAAAAACAAGTACAAATCACAGAAAATGTCATTTATTCTGCATCTACAATCTACATCCTCTACAAAAGGAAGAGGAGGACTTTGGAGTACTTTTTGTGATGGATCAGTACCGGTACACTCTGAATGCTTCAAACTTTTTAAAATTAAATTTCAAGTGTCCCAAATTACCCAGCTCCAGGAGTAATTTGGGATGCTTTTCTTTTGCCTCTGGCACCTTACATATAGCATATAGAATTTTTTCAGAGATGCCATACAATAGCCCTCGCAAAGACCTTTAAAATGAGCCCAAACTTGTTAATGAAATATTTCATGGTAAGAAGTTAACAATAAATGCTCAACATCATCTCTTATTACCCTGTTTGATGTTATCAACTTCTTGGCAAAATGTTTATTCCTATATCTTTTGATTTTGTAACTCCAGTATGTTAAAATATGAACAATAATTTTTTGGCTATTCCAGTACTGAATGATGATCACAGTCAAGCAGAAGCATGGCAGTGCAGGGTGGTGGCATCAATCCATCTCGGCAGCTTCACTGATGCCATCAAAGCCATTGAAAGAGCTCCCAATTCAAAGTAAGTTCTTCTTTGTTTAACCATTTCTAAATTTTTGCCCAATTTGCAGATAACTTAATTTGCTATTTCCAATTTCTGTCTCACTTCAAGCTTTCACTTGGCCAGTGGTCTTTCTCCTTTGTACTATTTTCTTGAATTTAATTATAGTAATTGATAGATACTTTGCAATTAGTATATAATCTTTTCTGAATTATCTAAATCTAAGAAATGTAGGTAACCATTATTGTAGAATTTTTTAAGGTGATTTTCAGTGCAAACTAGATTTTTAAAGTTTAAAACTCATTAACTTATGAAAAAAAAAAACATTTTCTTTGCATTTTTCCCTAGTTTTTAAATTAATCCACTAAAAATAGGAGACCTTGGTAAATTTAGGAATTTATAAAATTGTGAATCCTAGTTCATGAATTCCATTGAGGTTCTGTTGACCAACTCACACTTTCACATCTGCATGCACTCACATTTCAGTGATTGTGTGTGCATGTACAGTTATTGTACACACACAATCATTAACTTTAACACTGGCATAGTTCACAGACACTTCTGACGCTTTCATGTATGAACATGTTTCACACGCACACTTGCATGTATCAAACCTACTGAACACACTACACAGCCATATATTCATGAACACTCAGTCTTGCACTTGCAACACTCATTTGAATCACTCACTGTGCTACTTCATGATAACTGGCATTTAAATTCTTAGAATAGTTGTATGTATTTAAAATTTCAAGGTATGTTCTAAGAGTACACTTTTTTTCAGTGCCATGCAGTTTGAGCTGGCCTACTGCCAGTACCGCCTTAATGAGGTCAGGAAAGCTCACACAACTTTGCTAGCGGCGCCTGACAGAGACTCCCCTCGCTGCAAGGAGCTGCTGGCACAAGTTCTGTACCGACTTGAACAGTTGAGTATCCCATTCATTGTCTGGTATATATTTACTTAGTCTACATGAATATGATTACTTGCACAGGCTAAAATTCCTCTAGTTTGTTATTAATTAATATTTTTCAGGAAATTTTTTTTTATGCACAATAGTTTGCTTATGAGTCAAGGATTCTGTCAGAGAACAGGAATTCTTTTTATGTTGTAAACCTCAGAAGAAATGCCAGTAAATTTTTTAGCTGCTAAGTATGAATAAAAACTTACAATATCTTGTGAAAATATCAAAAAAGATATCAATGGTCCATTGAAGAAAAACTAAACACCATATGAATACTACCGGTACTGGAATCTGACTGGTAACATCTGATAACATTGTTATAAACAGATTTGGTTAGAGGTATACAAATATTCATAGTCTTACCTTATGCATCTTCAATATGCACTTTTTTTTGTTTTAAATCTCTTATATTATCAATAAACAGTTTATGAATGCCTAATGTGTCCTAAAGTTAGCAAAATTATAGACTTGACCTAGATATGGTGGAATATATTTATTTTGCAAAAATTTATTTTTTTTTATCATAATGTGGATTTTAACATTAATCTGAGCTGTCAGAATCTGACTTTTATCTCACTCTATAAATGTATATATATTTATTATTATAATCTTATTGAACACACTTAATTTATCTGGGAAACTCTCTCATAATTGAACTTCGCAATCTTTTAGCCCTAAATTTTTTTTGCTGAAATTATTATGGATGTGAGTTGCATTTCAGAGTAAATTTCCATTCAATGTGCATATTTTAAGGGTGAAACTAAAGGAGAAGAAGAAAGAAGTCGAATTGGAATTATTCACAAGAAGGGCTCAGACACATCAATTCAATACGTACTTTCTCTTTTAAATTATTGCTTTTTATTCTCAAAATTTTGATTGATTCACTGAAACAGAAATCGTTTCTCATCCTTATTTACGCCTGATTCTCTGACTGAATTTATACTCCAAGAATGTATAAAAATACTTGAAAAATTCAGAAATCCAGTTGAATTTTATTTTATTTTATGAGGTCATTTTGCACAGATACGAGGAGTGCAACTCGACGTACCGCGAAGTTGTGCGGTGCGCTGATGATGATCTGGATGTGGAGAGAACCACCAACATCGCTGCTGTCCAGGTCCACAGATGTCTGCAGGGCAAGGTGTGCATCTCTATTTATAATTCTTTTATTCTAGTACACTGGTTTGTTGTAGGTCCACAGAATTTTCTAATTTTTATGAAAGAAATTTATAATTTGGCAAATCCGCCTATTTTTCCAATACTTCTTCACTCATGAGAAATCAACTGAAAAGAGGACAACAAGCAAATTATGACATTGGTCTTTGCCAATTTTAAGTACTTAAAATTGGCTAATCTTAATATTTGGTTCACGTGACATTTGATGAAGTAAGATAGGATGTATACTACAGGATATAGTGCGTTGATTTCAAAGTTTATTATTTTATTTAAGTCAAACTTGTGCTAGGTAATGGTGGTTCAATATGGCTTAATGACAGTGGTTAAAGTAGGGTCTGTTATATAACTGGGGTTTAAATGATTGTATGATAGGCATCCATTTTTGAAATGAAAATTAGATTCGATGCTGGTCAATATTAGATGAATGAATCAAGCATAAATGCATGATAGTATTAAATGCATGCCACATGTGCCATCTTTCCTCGAGCCATCGGGGTGACCAGTTTTCTTTTGAAAAGTGAAATAACATAGACTACGTGGCAGGGTTGGCAATGATTTAATCAAAATGATTAAATCATGTGATTAAATCACTTGATTTTTTTATAAAAAAATCATTATTTTTTTGATTTTTTCGATTTTTTTGATTTTTTTGATTTTTTCATATATTTAAATATATTGAGTGGCAGTCTTTAATTTATATTGAGGTATTGTTATTCATGGTTTGGTATAAATGTACTATAAATGACAAATTGGTATATAAACTTGTTGCCTTTAGTGTGTATTAGGTTCCAATAAATTGAATGTTTTTGGTACAGAGGCATCAAGGGTGCAATACAATGTATGTAGCTAGCAGCTTAGCTAATTCTTATAAGGCTATAAGTAATCCTTAACTATTTGACTATTTGTTATATATTGATTATAATATACAATTTAAATGTGTTAGCTAGCTTATACAGGGTGGGGCAGAACTCATTGAACAGTTTTGGGGCAAAATAAAAGAGTAATGGAGGTGCATAAAGAAGAAAGTTCATTTTCCTCAAGATTAGCATAACATACCATTTAAAATACTTATGTTTTGCAAACAATATCAGGAAAATGGGGTTTGTTAGCTGCATCACACCGTTGGAGTCGTTCTCAGAAGTTTCCTACAGCATGTTCACACATATGGCGAGGTATGGCCATAACCTCTGCTGCAATAATCCATCCCCTTAGCTGTGGTAGGGTGTGAGGGCGACTTCTGAACTTCTCTTTTAGATGCCCCCAAAGAAAGAAATCACAAATGCTCAAATCAGGTGACCTCGCAGGCCACTGTAAATCACCCCTCAGAGACACCAGACCTATGGGAAACATGCGTTTCAAAACATTGAGTGACATTCAAGCTGTGTGAGCTGTAGCCCCATCCTGCTGGAACCACACGCCTTGCAATGCTTCATTTTCAACAATGTTTTCCATCATGGGCTGCAAGAAATTTTGCAACATTGCAGCATAGCGATCGGAATTCACTATCATGGTTACTCCCTCCTCTGAGAACGACTCCAACAGTGTGTTGCAGCTAATAGCCTCCATCTTCCAGTTATTGTTTTCAAAACATAAGTATTCTAAATGGTATGTTATGCTAACTTCTAGGAAAATAAACTTCCTTCTTTATGTACCTCCATTACTCTTATTTTACCTCAAAACTGCTCAATCATTTCAACCCCACCCTGTATATTGAAAGGTTGAGATTGTATTGACCTTTTAGGCAATTAGAAAGATTTACCACCCTAATACGAGTATTCTAATTAAAATATTTAATTTCAATCTTTAAATATGTGAATTTAAAACTAGAAACAAAACAATTACAATTATAAGACTATATATAAAATAATTAAATGCAGTGAATGGATATAAAATATTTGAATTGTGCACATGTTCATTTCAAACAGTATTAGATTTTCTCATAACTTAAGTCTTGTTTCAAGTCGTATGATGTTTGTTTGGTTATCGTTCAGTTTACGTTTGGTATTGGTTTATTGGTCTGAATTAAATGGGAACAGTGCAGTCAGTCACTCAGTAACTACTAGTCGGAGTGTATAGAGGGTAGAGTCTGGTAGATTTATAGGACATAAAACTAGTAGATCTATTGATAGTGCTGTGCACTGTGCTATCAGAGTAGGCTAATTGCAACATAAAAAATAACACATCAAAAAGACAAAAAAGTTGAAAAAATCAAAAAAATCAAATAAATCAAAAAAATCATGAAAAAATAAAAAAAATCATTGATTTTTGATTTTTTTGATTTTTTTAAAAAAATCAAAAAAATCGCCAACCCTGCTACGTGGAGGGATACACATGTCTGTGAAAAAATGGCTATAATGTGAGCTAATTTTTGGTATTGCATGTGAAATGCTTCCGGGTAACAAATATTCAGAGCAGATAAAACACTGACAACCAAACGAAGGATGGTATTGTTGCGCTATAAAAAAGTTGTCCAAAAGCTGCTGCTAGTTGATTGTTCTGCCATTTTAGCTCCGAAATGTGCACTTAACTTGGGCCTCATATCACTACTGGTAGAGAATACCATCACATCACTCACTAGTAGGTACTTTATTCTAGCATGCCACATGCACTAATGCTACTTCTTCAAGGGCCGTACTATCAACAATAGTTCTGAGTTCGTAACTCTTTTTCAGCTAATAACTGATGGCTTCTCAAGCTAAACCCACCAATCACCGACTAGAAATAAACCATTATGCATTCTGAGGACAACGCATGTACCTAAGGAAGTTTTGATATTGCAGTGGAGTCCTTTAACTGCAACCAATATTTTGCAATGTAACAATAGTTTTTTTGCAGTGCGAGGCACCAGCCCGCCCCAAGCCCTCGGCGTCCTACGAGCTCTGGTACAACAACGCGTGCGCCGTCGCTGCCGCAGGCGACGCTGTGGAGGCGGCTGCGAGACTCAACGTGGCGCTCGACAAGTGCAAGAGCTTCCTGGAGGAGGAGGGAGCCTCTGAGAAGGAGATACATCAGGACCAAGCTATCATCAAGTTGGTTTTTCTCTCGGTTGTGGCTGCAAGTTCTGTTTGAATTTGTGTAGCAGTCATCTAATTCTAAGTTTCATTTGCTACGATGAATTTTTTAATCTGCCATCTGGTGAGTAAAGTTTTGCTGATTTGAAATTCATTAAAAGAAAGAAATAATATTTGATAAAACTAGACTGAATCATCAATAAAGAATGTAGCAGTGAACTTCACTTTACGACACACAAAGCAGTTCTGTTGTCGCAGTTGTTTCAAGGAACACACTACTTGATACCACTTTGGCTTTTCGTCGTTACTGATGGTGCTTACCACTTCATTAGATACGAATAGCACTGACGGCAGTTGCATTATAAGGAGACAAAAGACTTAATAGCTCTGCACTGCAGGGTGCAGCTTGGCTATGTGCTGCAGTGCTGTGGACGAGACAAGGAGGCCACAGCGCTGTACACGTCGGTGCTGCAGTATCCTGTTGATGATCCTGCCTTGCTGGCCATCCTGCACAACAATGTTGCTGCCGCCAACAAAGACACAAATGTCTTCGAGTCTCGCAAGAAGATGAAAGCCACGCAAGTCAGTGAGATTGGTCTATAGTTGATAAAATATTTGTCTACAAGCTTTAACTCTTGTTACCTGACATTGAGATGTAATAAACATGGACGGTTAATATATCCGTAGACAATTGGTGAATGACAATTTGCGAATTGGTTGTTTTGTCAGTGAGCTTGGCCTAGAGTTGCCCGAATTATTGTGTTGTTGCGTTAACTCCTGCTACTAGACCTTATAATTTATAAAAAAAATTATGACTGTTAATATATACATGGACAAAAGTGGGTAAAGCTTTAAGGGGTTCAGCAATCTTTCGTCTCAATTTCGTCTATTTCTCAGACTCGTATGCAATTATTTTTAACTTATATTTTTCCCATACATATTTTTCTAGGTTGCTGGCCTGGAGCATAAGCTCACCTCTGCTCAGCGGGATCAGCTGACGCTCAACAACTGCATCATCTCGCTCGCCTCGCAGCAGCAGGTCTTGATATTTGGAGTTGACTGCTGCTTAGTATGTCTTCTTGATATGTACAGTCGTCAAGTGAAATTACCGTACATGTGCAGAAAAATAATCACAATTTAGGCAACTTATCACTAATTTCGTTCTTTGTTGTATAACTCCTGTCGAATCATCTATGTGGCGTTGCATTCAGGTGTGCCAATATTGGCTCATGGGGTATCAAGATGTGGCTGTTTTTTTTTTACTTATAAATTTTGTTACCGGTATATGTGAGCCTTACAATTTATTTAGGACGGTTCAAATTTTTTTATCATTTAAAAATTAACGTTTAAAAAATGTGAGCAAGAAGATGTAGATGTTTTTCTGCCTATAACATGCCAATGATCTTGTGCATGAATTTATGGTTCCCACTTTATTCCAGAAATGCATTCACTAATATAAATTTCCCTTGCTCTATTGAAATAATTTTCTTGGAGCTATTTTCCAATATCCTTTCTTGATTGCATATTCAGTTTGTGAAAATAGCAATTAATATCTAAAGTTATTTTTCAGTGTCTGTCCTTAATGATATTTCCACGTGCACAAGAATAATGAGTGCGACGGTCTAAATAGTGATTCACTGTTTGTCTCAGTGTGGGTCGCCATGACCCAGTTTGACCCGGTAAATAGGCTTATCAGAGCCCTCTGTCTGCTGTGGACAACAGGACAAGATAGTGTCACTATTAAGACAATTTGACTCATTCATTTTTTCTGATAGCAGGAAGACGCGGGTCTGTTGACGACGTGCGAGTCGCTAGTGCGGGACGGCAGCGCAGGCGTGCAGGCGAAGGCGGTGCTGGTGCTGGCGGCGAGCCTGGCGAGGGCGGGGCGCCTGGAGGAGGCCGTGCAGCGACTGCAGCGCTGGGCTGACGGCAACACGCACGGCGCTCACCTCGTCAGGCTCGCCGCTGCGCAGCTCAAGCTTAGCAAGGTGGACGTCGTGCTGGGACTAGCAACTTTCGTTCCTAGTTTTTTAGCTAAGTTCCTAGCAAAATTTTCTATCTACATTTATGCGTACCGCAATTGCCGTCATTTGCGCTTTCGTGCAGTGCAATAACTTCCTTTTTTACCTACGTTCATCTCAAGCATTGCTATCTATATGTACGTTCGAGGCAATCATTTTTGTTTGAACTTAGGTTTGCCGCAATCATTTTTGTTAGCCTTTATGTGTGCCACAATCATTTTTATTTTGTGTAGTAATGTTGACGCATAGATTTTGAGATTTTATTGTGTAACGTTCTTTCTTGGTTGAAGTGATAATTTATTTTGTGCTACTTAAGACTAATATAAGACTTACCATCTTTTGAGATTTTATTGTGCAACGTTCTTTCTTGGTTGAAGTGATAATTTATTTTGTGCTACTAAAAGCTAATGACTTACCATCCGTAAAGTCATTCTAATTCATGAATAATATTTTTTTCTTACCATGTCTCATATCTGGTTGCAAGCTATTGTATTAAGTCATTAACGGACGCTTGTGTTCAGAACGATGCTAACGGAGGAGCTGACGAGCTATACAAGCTACCGCCCGCCGACCGTTACCGACCTGGAGTTGTGGCTTCACTCGTCGTGCTCTACACCGCCAAGAAAAATAAGGCGGCAGTATCTAATATTTATAAAGAAGCTGCTAATTGGCACCACAAAAATAAGGTAATTTATTCAGGCGGAGCCATGCATCAGGTTTTTGTTGATCTTCCAGAGACTTTTCTCCGTCGCTAGACAAGTTATTTAGTCTCGATGGCTCCTTTTCATTTATCACTTTACACAGCTCTTCCTTGACCACCATAATTTTTTTATGCATTCGTCCCTGTATGTTAACATTCTTTTGTCTAACATCTCCCTCTTCTCTTCTGAAGATTTTTAGTTTAATTATTTGGCTATTCTATTCTGTTTCATTGTGTAGAGTTATGGTCTTCATAGTGCAATCTTTCCATCTGTATCTCCTTGTACCTACCAACTAATGCAAGATTTTTACAAATTGAAATAATTTGTTTCCCAATAAATCTACAACAGGTAAATATAAGAATGCGTAAATGTAAAAATAAGAGTATTTAAATCGGATATAATGTATTTTTTTACCAGTTCACTAATATGTGGATGCTCGGCTTTTTGTATATATACCAATATATTACCATTAGCAATGCTATTTGCTTTGTAGTCATGTCACCGTCAGCAGACGGCAGGGTAAGACTGCCTGCAAGGTTCATTGTCGGCCTTGTCAGTCTGGAGCCCCTGGAAGCGATGCTATTCGTACATAGAGACATCTTACTACCTGCAAACTACGGGTTATCCTTCCTATTGTTTTTATTTCCGGTATGCGCCCTACGCCCTTCGTGAATATGGTTGGAATCGTGGGTCATTCCGAGCCGAAGACAACCGCAGGGTTAAAACTTCCTGTAAGTTTTATTATCGACCTTGTCTGTCAGTCGTATTTTGAGTCATGTTACCGTCCATAGACGGCAGGTTAAGTTAATAAGACTGCTTTTTAAGTTCATCGTCGGCTCTGTCAGTCAGGAGCCCCGGCTGACGCCCTGGAGGCGATGCTGCGCCGCGCTGCCGACCATCACCTGAAGGAGGGCGACCCGCAAGCCGCTGCGCTGGCGCTCGAGCAGCTGCGGGAGATCTGTCCCGGTGCCGCCACCGCCGTCCTGCCGGCGCTGTTGCATGCGTATGCTCAGGTATATAAATATTCTATATTCCTTACGCTTGTGTGTCGTATTTTGATTAATACCTGTGATGTGCTCACATACTTTACATTTCTCATTGGTGGTGTTTTCGACAAACCATTGTGCTTAAATCTCCATTTCTTTCAATTTTATTTTACAGTCAGGTTTTTAATGAAATTCAGCCAAGAACTCCCGGTTCGGTTTTATTTTAGACTGCTTATTGGTCTAAAATCACAGAAAAAAATATAGATGTTGCTTTGCCCCTACTTGCCGCTGCTCTGCTTTTTTTATATCAGACATTTATTAAATTCCTATTGTTTTTCATTATAAAAGAATTACTATTTTCTATTATTGAAGGCTTATTATTTTTCAGTTTGATGCAAATAAGGCGAAGCAGCTGTCGCAAGAGCTGCCGGACGTTCCGATTCCCGAAGGAGGCGCTGACGCGGACGCCCTTGAAGCCTCCCTTGGGCCGAAGTTCCTACTGAAGGCCGCGCTGAAAGCTGAAGAGGCTGCTGAAGGCGATGTGTCCAAGTGAGTCACAGAAACACGAGTCACTTACCCGTCTATGATCGTAACTGGGTCATTGGCGGTCACTTCACGGCCGTGCATTTATGTGTGCATCACATGTGACCATTTAATTCTAATGATATAATGAAAATAATGTTTGTGATAATGAGCAGGTCAGCGGGCGGGCGCGTGAAGCAGCGCAAGAAGAAGAAGCGCAGGACTGTGCTGCCCAAGAGGTACGTGCATGGCGTGGTGCCAGACCCTGACCGCTGGCTTCCTCGCTGGCAGCGGCGCAACGCTGGCGGTGGGGGCGGCCGGCGCAGGGCAGCGCGGCGCCGAGACAGGGACGTGGGGCGCGGCACACAGGGCGGCGTCGGCGACGCTGCTGATAAATAGTGAGTGTTTCATGTCTGGCCACGCTGGTGAATAGTGAGTGATTCATGTCTGGCCATGCTGGTGAATAGTGAGTGATTCATGTCTGACCATGCTGGTGAATAGTGAGTGATTCATGTCTGACCATGCTGGTGAATAGTGAGTGATTCATGTCTGGACACGCTGGTTAATAGTGAGTGTTTCATGTCTGACCACGCTGGTAAATAGTGAGTGATTCATGTCTGACCACGCTGGTGAATAGTGAGTGATTCATGTCTGATCACGCTGGTGAATAGTGAGTGATTCATGTCTGACCACGCTGGTAAATAGTGAGTGATTCATGTCTGACCACGCTGGTAAATAGTGAGTGATTCATGTCTGACCACGCTGGTAAATAGTGAGTGATTCATGTCTGACCACGCTGGTAAATAGTGAGTGATTCATGTCTGACCACGCTGGTAAATAGTGAGTGTTTCATGTCTGACCACGCTGGTAAATAGTGAGTGATTCATGTCTGACCACGCTGGTAAATAGTGAGTGATTCATGTCTGACCACGCTGATAAATAGTGAGTGATTCATGTCTGGCCACGATGGTGAATAGTGAGTGATTCATGTCTGATCACGCTGGTGAATAGTGAGTGATTCATGTCTGATCACGCTGGTGAATAGTGAGTGATTCATGTCTGGACACGCTGGTTAATAGTGAGTGTTTCATGTCTGACCATGCTGGTGAATAGTGAGTGATTCATGTCTGGCCACGATGGTGAATAGTGAGTGATTCATGTCTGATCACGCTGGTGAATAGTGAGTGATTCATGTCTGATCACGCTGGTGAATAGTGAGTGATTCATGTCTGGACACGCTGGTTAATAGTGAGTGATTCATGTCTGACCACGCTGGTGAATAGTGAGTGATTCATGTCTGGCCACGCTGGTGAATAGTGAGTGATTCATGTCTGACCACGCTGGTAAATAGTGAGTGATTCATGCATTTCTGACCACGCTGATAAATAGTGGCTCGGCACGCTAATGAGTGATATAGTCGTGGTTCATTGATGCCATTTCTCTAGTGATTTTATATGTATATGACCAGTCCATCTTAGTCAAGTTTAAATACTATTTAATGTATTTCATGTTAATAACGGCGCTTATTAATTTTACTCACATCATAGGATTGAAACATTACAATACCATAGTGTTCACTTTATATAACACATGAATAGCTTTTTCTTTAGGTTGCTACCATTATTTTAATACAATTCACTAATAATAAATTCGTTTGCAGCGATATCACGAAGAACCCTGGCTTGCACAAGAGCTCGCAGCAGCAACAGCAGCCTGAGGCAGTGGGACCGCGGCGCAACATGCCGAAGAAGAAGAACAAGAAGAAGTAAACTGCAGGATAGCACAGCAACTGTGTCACGCAATAGCTGACTGATACATCAGCTGTGTCTGCATCAACTGTGTGCTGCAACAGCTGGGGCGTCATCACCTGTGTGCTACTGCGCCTTCAGCTGCGGAGTCTTCAGAAGGCTGATTGTAGATCATGCAGCGGCCGGACCAGCTTAATAGTGCCGTAACTTGTACTGTACCTTCAGAAGCTGTATAATATCTCCCACCAGCTGAATGCTTTGGCCCGACAGCTGGATACTGCTGCTCCATCAATCAGCTGGACGCTCAATCATCAGTTAAATGTTGCTGATAATTTATGTTGAATGAATCAGTTGCGTGCAGCAATAGCTGGTCGCTCCATCAGTTGCGTGCAGCAACAGCTGGTTACTCCATCGTTTGCGTGCTGGATATGTTTGCCGTGGTTTTTTCTTGGGGTTTCCGGTTTATTTCCTATCATTTAATTTGTAAGAGTTTTCCTGGTTCTTCGTGGGGTTGAGACTCATCTTTCATCAACTGCTGTTTGCGTTACTTGTTTACAGAGGCGACTTTGTCCATGCCAACTGTTTTTCCAATATCAGATTGTGGTATTTGTCGTGTAAAAGGGCATAACTTGTTTTGCGGAGAACCGTCAATGGTAACGGATCATTGCACATTATGTCATTATTGTATGAAAAGATCATTCACATGTACATGTGTACTGCTGATAAGTGGGCAAACTATCTACTTTCATTTGCATGGTCTGCTAACGGCTGCAATTACTAATAAATGAGATCACTTCAATGATAATATATTACCTTTAAAATCTGCAGGATGGGAGATAGTGTCACAAATTTCTGATTGCTACAGTCCGTCAAAATGCCGAGAAAGAGTTTAATCTGGAGTAAACGTAAGTTTGAAGTTTGCATGTCTATGATTTATTTCATAGAAGCTAATTATATAAATAGGTCATTAGGATAACCTGCATCAATTAATTGATTATCGATCGAAATTTTTGCAGATACTCGTCAATTTTTAGGCAAAATATGCACAACTTTATTCTATGTCATTGAGTAGATTTGAGAATTTATTGAAAATTCTATGTACCCATTTTTTGGAATTTTCAAGTAAAATGTGCATAAGCCGTTCAAACATGGCCCTATTAAATTGAGGTAATGAAAGATTGACGGTCACCGGTCCAGCAAACATTACGAATAAATTCAAACTCGACTGCCTAGCGTCTAATTTCACGGCGTTCAAACTATAACGAAATGAAGAAAAGCATCGGAAGAAAATGTGACACGAGAACAATGATTTATTGTTCGTATATCGAGTCTTCATTCGAAGCTCTTAAAATACTCTGCCACTTACCAGCGCATTTTTCTGCATTATTATTAAATTCAGTGCCAAGATAAAATGAAAATCGAACATTAATGGGCAAAGGTGAATTTACGGCATCTGAAAATTCGAAGAGGTAATAAGAAGAGTTAAATGACAGTCATATTGCGTGTAACGTTTACTCAACACACCAAAGAGATTATTCATAAGAACACTTAATTAATCACAGTTCGATACAGCGCGCGGCATAAGCGAGTTGAACACTATTGTGTGTGCGATGTAGAAACGGTACTTACGAATACGAATCAGCGAACACACTGAATGCCATGTCTCGGCAACGGTGCTACTCGGAACCTAAGCTCATAACCGGAAAAAATTCCTTCTTCTGAAAAGAACAACGATTGGCTCCAGGTTTAACGTTGGAAACAAAAAGAAATGGCTGATCAAAGGCTTACATGAATTTTGTTCAACGATGAAAATTTCGGGTGGCTGCTTTAAATGAGAGTGGCGCACGCATTACGTAGTAAAACTGATCTAGCGAGCAACTGGAATTTGTTCAAGATCGACCCCTTCATCAGCCAGTCAAGATTGCCAATTATCTTTTAAGTTTAGTAAGTACGATTGTACAGACTATTGGTCCTTAGGAAGTACAATATTAGGCTTACCAGGCACAGATTCAGATCTAATGTCACGAGTAAAGTAGCAATTTCTCAAAATTTGTCTAGGCTAGAAAGTTCATCGTAAATTTATCAATAAACTATAAGTTTTACAGCCAATGGTCGGTAAAGGCAGCTATAGGCAGGCTCAAGCCAATAATAATCATAGAGCTTAAAAAACAATTCTGCAGAGAACGCCATTACTTCCTGACAGAACGCTTGCTTGCCAAAACATGTAAAAGTTAGGGAAATCTAATACCGAACATAAACGTATAATTTCGTAGTAAATAGTTCATATCCAAGTGAACCTGTGCGTAAGCAATCACGAGAGCTAAACTGACAGCTAAATGCATGTCCCCACCATACGTAGAGCGAATTAAAATACAGCAATCAATATTTTGGCCTGGGCTACAATAACCTGTTCAGAAGATAAAAATTCCACCAAAAATCGTGTGCCACTAACATCACAAATCTGCACGGAGATTCTTGCTGACAAGCTTTTTGTGGCAGTTAGTAGCCCGTTGATAGAATTGAATTGCCTTGCAGAACACACGGTACTACTATTTCGGAGCAGATTTTGTAGTAGTAAAGTAGTATACAAGTAGATCATGTCCTACAATAACATCCAGAACTATACTAACAATATATGGCATGATAACTGTGAGGACACAGTCAGCTCGTCTCTCTCCCGTGCGACGGATGGAGGACGACAAATAGCACAATTGAGAGATAAGAAATCTTACCAAATAATTAGGACTTTCCTGGACCAAATATTTCTGAAAATACTGACAATAGCCATTATTTTTCTTGGGATGACCCTTGTTATCCTAAATAACAAGATAAAAAAAATAACCCGTGTGTGGCGAAAAATATTTCCGTACAAGAGAACATTTTTACTCTGCGTACAAGGTAAAATTTTTATCGCAAAGGGACAAAATACAGTTGCGTAAAAAAAGTTGTGGTTTAAACAATGGTGGTGACAAGAAGTCGAGTAACCCGCAAATGAGCATCGTTCTTGAGAGAGTTAAGAGAAAATTAAGGGATAGATTCACTATTTAAGTTATTTGGTAAACGAACCACTTGGCTATGGGATCATCACACACTGAAGCTACAGAGAAATTAATGCAGAAGACCAAATGAGATCCTCATAGGTGAAGTTGCCTTGCAAGTAACATCACTCATGGTATTTACGATAGGTAAATCGCTAATTTTTTCGAAAGCGGCGCCAGAAGAAATTGCACACGTGTTTCTTACAGAATGAACGTGCCTATGAATGCATACTAGGAACGCTCAAGATCAGGTACAAATATTGTCATAATAAGACTGCATTCTGGGGGCGAAAGGTGGGCTAGTATTGATAGCTAACCAATTTAACGTCGACCGCATTCATTTCTTGATGACCAAGTCAAGAGTCAAAATAACTTTGACTCGTCAAGAGTCAAAATGCTTAGGTCTAACAATACCTACACTCGGTACGATTATAAAGCTAAATTATGCAGTCAGATGAGGGTTGCACTGCAGTTCTAACCATGATTCCGGTGTCTGTAACTCGTCTTGCCTACAGAAGTATGGATGGCTCAATTACTTCGCAAAATATTAGGGAGCTTAAGGGCAGTGCATGTGCGGCTGATTTCAGCTAAAATAAATACATGTAGAGCAATCATTTGTGATAAATTCGACTTATTCTACAATTTGCTTAGGCTTACACACCTTAACTCACACCAGGAAAGAATGGATGTCACAAACCAGACTTAAAACTAATAATACTTAGATAAATGTACGGATGTTCAAAATGCGAGAAAAAGCATAGGCTGGAATGGCTTGAAGACCAATACAAAAGGAGCGATCAAGACAACTCCTGGGGTTGCAGTGACCGGGTATGCGTTAAACCGGGCTGAGGGCAGACTGGACGAATTGAAAACCAGGTATTGAGATGAGATGTAGGGGCTCAACGAGAGTTGTCGAGGTGCTAAATGAACCCGTTCTTTTCGTACAAATATATTAGGCAAAAGTAAATCAATGTTGAAGAGCAAGTAAAAAAATAGGGACCATCCACATAGCACGAGGAGTGAAGAAGGGTTCACTGAAAATACATCGTGCCACACAACTGTGTCTAACGATGTTGTAACGTTAGTAACTCCAGTGAAAAACAGGGTTAGTCTTAATCCAATGAAAAACAGCGCAATGAACTCGGGGACATTTGCGACACTGTAAAGGTAGAAGTTAAGAATAGGTGAGATAAAACCTTCATTACATAAGCGGAATAATGAGCAAATAAGAGCTAGCTTTATAACCAGGTATGCAAGCGCATGCATGTGTTGCGAGTGAAAACATGTCCTTAACGTAGACTGTGTCTGACTACCACCACTGTGGCCATTGAAAAAAGCTGGCAGTTGAAGAAGAAGAGATCAGTTGAAAGAAGATCAGTTGAAAAGAAGAAGATCAGTTGAAATAGCCTGGAGGTGCATAACATTTGGTACCGACATAAACTCAACCCATTTTTGTTTTCCGTTCACACGCATCAAGTTGAAACTTTCTAATTTCCAAGGCCACATTGTCTCAGAGGAAAACGAGAAGCAAAAACCTTAATATTAAAATAATATCATGCAGTCGACGACCGAGTATGATGCCATCTCATCATTGCGATGTCAATAAATGCCTTTTAATGACTAACATGCAATAACAATAAGTTGATCATTTACTTTATGGATTTCAACGCCCACAGCTGAAGAATGAATTGAATCGTTACAGGCGAGTAGAGACCAAAGGAATTACAACAAACAACATGCACGCTGAACACCGCAGTGAAGTGCACGTCGATCCCCGTATTATTTAGTTCGGAAAGACATGAACGACACGACAAAGTCACCTTATAAGAAGTATGTGATTAGAGTAAACATAATCAAGTCTACTTGATTAGCTAGTCATGCAAATTTACGGTAACATTGGATACATCATACATCATTTACTACAACACACAATACTCATTAAGATAGCAGACCGTTTAATAATACGGTCATAGTTGGAACAAAAAAAAAAAAAAGGTTTTCGCATCAAGTACTCAAACGAGACCACAGAAAAGTTTTAATACAATTCAAGTTACACGAATTAGATCAACGAATAATGAATTTTGTTTATGTACGAAATAAAAACATGTGAGTGCATCTTGTTTCATCGAAGAAAAGAAAATATTCATTCGTCAAGAAGATCAGTTGAAATAGCCTGGGGGTGCATAACATTTGGTACCGACATAAACTCAATTTCAAAATAAAAATAGAATATAATAACTGACAAGCAGAACAATGAACAAAAGAACCTAAAACCTTTGAGGCGTTCGAATGATTATCCGGTGAACGTCGGGTCAGAGTGAGTAAGTCAAATACATATTGATAAGAGTGTAACATTAACATGTGATTATAAATGCATTCGTTACCCAATACCGGCATAGACGATCGTGTCGACATGGTCGGGTTATGAAACGTTTTTTTGTTCTGACGTTCAATTGTGAACTCTTAAAGCACAAAAATATAGATTCCGTTAAAAGTACAGACATTCCGTCAAAAGTATAGATGAGATAAATAAAATCCGTTGGTTTATCTTGACAAAAGCACATACAAGATAAATGGTATGTTATTCAAATCAATAAAAGCATGAGTTCCAAAAACATGTCAAAACAGATCGCACAATGATATAACCTAATTATTTTTTTGGCAGCAACCACGATTGATGAGCACTTAACATAAAAATAAGCTTTCATACTGAAAACTATTAGCTGAACACAAATAGGGTCAACGCGATCACGTAAATGAATACCAATAGTTGATATAGGAATACACGCATTGCTATAAGGAAAGGTTCATAACCTTATACCAGCAAAATCATAAATCCGGGGCACATAAATTAGAAGACGGAACGAAACAATAAGAATTCCGTCAAGCCAACATCTGACAATACGCAGCTTAAAATGAAGAAATATATAATGGCAGAAAATAATGCTAGTTTTCATCGTGTCGGACTTTCACAAAAACAATAGGCATTTTGAGGCAAGTTCGAGAATATGTACCTATCAAGTACTCAAAAACACATCAAAAAATAGTGACTAATGCAAGTTCATGCAACATTCTTTGAGACGAAGTTTACGGACGTACGGCAGGGCAAACATTAGGAGACACGCGTCTTTTGTGATCAATGCCCACGAGTGAGCAAGAGCTGCGGCACTAAGGACGTAAACTGCATTATTCTTCCTTGATTTTTGTGTAGGATCTTCATGAGCTCTTTTTTCATGAAGTAGAGCTTGCGCTCACAACATTATTCCTCCCAAGATTTGTTTTCCTTGTGCAAGATCTTCCTAAGGTCTTTTTTAATGAAGTAGAGCTAGCGCTCACAACATTATTCCTCCTTGGTTTTATTTTCCTTGTGCAGGATCTTCATGAGATCCTTGCTCATGAAGTAGGGTTTTTGTTCAGATCCGTCGTTGCGCTCCGAGTCCTCAAGGAAGCAGAGGAAGAGCGTGTCTACGCCGATCTCGTAGACGGAGAAGAAGGCGCTGCTGATGAAGTACGTCACGATGGTGATGAGGATGACAGGGGTGAGGTAGTAGTTCGTGTGAGGAATTTCGCTACGAATACCTTGGATTCCACCACTAAATACGAAGTACGCCACGATGCCGACGCCGCCCGTCACCACCATCTTGCCGATGAACAGCAGGAAGTCGGTCACCTGCACAAAATATTATTATTTACATTTGATTACGTATCTAGAGACATATACTCAAAAATGCGTAATAGGTACATGTAGCGGCATAAGCAGACAGCGCAGCCGATTTCTTGTCTGTGATTGGTGGGCTCAGCTTTAATATCCGTCCGTGATTGGCTGACGGAGTTACGAAGTCTTAATTATTCTTGATAGTGCAGCCCCTGATACGAGTACATGCAATGAGTTCATTGACCATCAAATTTGGAAGTTTCTCAACTTCTTTGCATGAATGAATGGAGTGTTTATGTCGGATTCATTAATTTGGCTAGTGATAGTTACCTAAAAAATAATAAGACAACAAATAGATATTGCGCAGACGGCCACCCAAGCCACACGTGTTCATTAGTGGAAAAAAATATAACTCAGTACTCACTGCAGTGAGTGACAGAGAGCGCATTTTCTCGTCGACGAAAACGTGAAGTCACGGAGGGACAGACGGACGGACAGACAGAGAGACAGACAGACGGACATGGCGAGCAAAATAGTGCATTTTTTCCTTAAATGAGAAAATGCGCTAAAAACGTGTCATAGAAGAGTTCAATTGTAGACACGCGAATAACAAAATAATGTCAAGGCCAATTCCACATAATTCAACAGTTTTTCTTTCGTCACATTTACCTTGTCCAGCTATTTGAATGAGAGTTGAATAAAAACGCAACATTCATTTCCACCTCTTCCTTCAGCTGCAGTTCACATATGCTATGTTCCACTTGCTACCCTTGTCGTAGTTCTTCATGTGCAGGATCTTCATGGAATCTATGCTCATAAAGTACGTTTTAGGCTCCGAGCAGTATGCATATAGTACGACGAATACTGCTAGTGGTAAAAGTAGCTAGTAATAATAGTAGTAATAGTAGTACGAATAGTACGACGCGCGGTGTTGCTCACCTTGAGCTACGGCGGTGAGAGAGACCGCCTCTCCTAACACAGTGATCCGAATTCGAGTCTGACTGAGGATAAGTTCTTCCGGGAAGCTCATCTCATGGCCGACTCAGGCATTCATCAAATTTTGTTTAATAAATGAGTACCTGGCTTGTCCATTGTGTTGTGTAATGAAAACAAATGCTTCTGGAGGGTCAGTGATCGTCGTAGAACTGCCACTGGCATTAGTGCCTTGAGAAACTGACCTATGACCTCCTGCCTAGTCGCCACTACCAGTGTGGGCAATCAACTACAACAGCTCGTTGCTTACCTTGTCGAGGACGACAACGCGCGCAATGTTGCGCATGAGGAGCGAGAAGCTGCTCCTGGCGGACGCGCAGAAGTTCTTGCCGTAGATGGCACAATAGACGTAGGCATTCCTGGGAAACATAGAGCCTCAAATAATGGAATAACCAAACTGCTTAATGATTTATATGGGTAATTCGACATCGATAGTAAAAAAATTAATTTTTTATGATGAAACTTTTGATCATGAGACACATGTACTTCATATATATAAGATTTCAGTTCGGTTTGAATTCTACTGATACATTTAAGGACTTATGTCCTAAATGTAAAGAATTTTAAATTTACCGAATTTTCTGATTCATATGCACGCAAGAGCAATGTTACCGAAATGCACATAATTAAAATAACGTAGCAGTTAGTGCACCCTTAAGTTCACTTTAAAAAAATATTGTGTCGGCAGCAAATAACCGGTTTCCTCAACTGCTGGCAAAATTGTAAGTAACAAACATCAGCTTGCGCACCTGTTGACGAATTTGAGGAACTTCTCGAGGCAATAGAGGCAGCAGCGGCAGCAACACATGAGACACTTGACGAGCCAGCTGTCGGTCTTCTCGCGCACCTTCTTGTCGATGTATTCGAATATCAGGCGAATCATGCGCACTATAGCGATGATCAGCGACCCGAACGCCAGTGTGCCTATGTGGTACCTGCAAAATAAAACGTACATCAATAAGCGCTACACCTTAAAACATTGCAATCAACCTAAACTTAATTCAAGGTCAAACATTCAAGTGCACTTTCCCCACGTCAGCTTTGATAACATTCATTATTGTGAAAACTGAAAGTGACATAAGGGGATCATTGCAAAAATTGTTTTGTAATAATTCATTTATGTATCTGTGCGAGAAATTCTTGAACAACTGAATCAAAAGCCAGTGATATTAATCAAGCGAATATGTAGTGCCAGCTGTTTTGTTAAGAATTAAGAATATTTAGGTTTAATTTTCAATATTTCAGGTCCTTAACTGAGCGTGCGACCGAGGCTGTACGTGACAGGCAAGAGTGGCAGGCCCTTAACTGAGCGTGCGACCGAGGCTGTACGTGACAGGCAAGAGTGGCAGGCCCTTACCTGAGCGTGCGACCGAGGCTGTACGTGACAGGCAAGAGTGGCAGGCCCTTACCTGAGCGTGCGACCGAGGCTGTACGTGACAGGCAAGAGAGGCAGGTCTTTGTTCTTATCAAAAGCCCAATACCAAGACGAGAAGGCGCCCGCCAGCACCATCTCTCCCATTGCCGAAATGAAGAACAGGCACCAGAACAGCGCGAACACGTTGTAGATCTAATCAATAGATGAAGAAAAGCTCAGAACATTTTGTACCATGGAAATTACGAACTAAATGAATAGCACACTATAATCAATGTGAGACTAAAATTCATTAGAGAGGTTTTAATTCCAAATCAAATAATTGATTTATCATAATATACCTAGTTGGCAAAAGTGTAAAAATAAAACGTATAGAAGTTTTCTTTTTACATTTTGGATCAATATGCAAGAACTTGCAGGTGGCAATGTTAAGAAGAGAGAAAAAAAATATTTTAATGGAAATTCAAAATAGAATATGCCACTTAGTCACAGAACGTCAACACTTGGCAAGGTTTACATAAAACGTGTATGGTTACCACGCTAGGACATTGTCATGATACGAGAATTTAACCGATAATGAAATTTATATTCGAGAATTTACATAGATACATCATAACATAGTAATGGCGGCGCTGAAGTGTAGGCCTGATGTGGCCTGTCGCCGTCAGGCCACATCAGGAGAAAAGACTTGAGAATGTAACTCTTAATAGACTGAAGACACGAGAGTAACGCCAGAGTAAGAAAATACAAACACATCAAGCAATTAATGTCCCCCGGAAGCCTGGGGGTGTAGAGGTTCCATGAAGAGGATTTCAAGTAAAGGCTGCACGTATAACTCATCATGAAACTGATGACACGAGGGTAACATCAGACAGAAAACCACTGAACACATCCCACGTAAGCACACCTGCAGCCTGGGGATGTGAGGGTTGACGTAGACCTTCAGGAACTGACATGTCGCGCCCGCGCAGGCGTTGGTCTCGTTGAAGTGCACGGGCTCGCACATGGCCCCTTCCTGTGGGTGGTCGACGTTATCAACGATTGATGAATGGTAACCAATTCTTCAACTATCATCATATCATCAATACAGTATAGTAATCCAAATTTTTGTTATGAGTAGTAGTAGTAGTAGTAGTAAAAGATTTACTAGCGCTTCAGATAGCTATCTATTTCGCGCCGGAGGTGAGGTCTTCAGCTACGTCAAAGATGTTTGGTCTCTTCCGTCTTCAAGGCTTATAGCCTGATCCATTTTAGGCGCAGGGGCTGGGCGGTAGATTCCACCGGCCATGATTGCATCTGAGGCCGTACAGCCTCGGGTCTCATCGAGACACGCAAGCCCCCCCCCACGACAAGGACGAGATGGCACGGGGGGGGATGATCATTATCATCAATGCAGTATGGTAAATGGTAATCAATATTTTAATTATGATAATCATTATCATAAAGGCATTACGGTATGGTAATCAATATAACAATAGGTAGAGGACCTGCAGGCCGGGGCAGCAGGCGCCGCTGCAGGAGACTGCGTACTGAGGGCGGCCGGCGCTGGCGAGGAACACGGCCACCACGCAGAACACAGAGATGGTCACCACCTGCAGCAGGTACGGCAGCACCGGCAGCAGCAGCGTCGACATCATGTCACCCACGGCTCTGGGAGAACATGCAACATGTTGACATCATGTCAGTGATGTCACCCACGGCTCTGGGGGAACACGCAACATGTCGACATCATGTCATCCACGGCTCTGGGGGAACACGCAACATGTTGACATCATGTCATCCACGGCTCTGGGGGAACACGCAACATGTTGACATCATGTCACCCACGGCTCTGGGGGAACACGCAACATGTTGACATCATGTCACCCACGGCTCTGGGGAACAAGCAACATGTTGACATCATGTCACCCATGGCTCTGGATGATGTCTGGCAACCGTACCATGTCGACATCATGCAACTGAGCACTTTTTCAGATTCAGATACTCTAGTTGATCTGAAACTTTTCAGTTTCAGATCACCTAGAGACTAAAGTATTCAGAAGATCAGGAAACTATCATGAGGAAATACCTACAGATCAAACTACCTCAGAATCTCAGATGAAACTACCTTTCAGAGGAAATACCTATAGATGAAACTATCTCAGAATCTCAGATGAAACTACCTTTAGATGAAACTACCTTCAGCTGAAACTACCTTCAGATGAAACTACCTTCAGATGAAACTACCTTCAGATGAAACTACCTTCAGATGAAACTGCCTTCAGATGAAACTTCAGCTGAAACTCACTTGCTGGCTTGACCAATGAGCGCGACGGCGATGTTGATACGCTTCCTCAGGATGATGAGCAGCAGCAGGCAGATCACCAGCAGCGACAAGCACACGAAGAAGAGCACAAGCCAGGTGCTCTCGCGCTCAGAGTACTTCTGGAACTCGCTCCTCAACTCCTGCTCTATTGAGAGCGCTTGAGGGCTGCTCTCCTTCGCCGCCTCCGTCGAGTTGGCGGACCGTGACCGCAGGTAGATGTATTGGCTCATCGAGTAGTAACAGGCTGCAAGAAATAAATTGTTAATAAAAAAATAAAGAACTTCACTTCAACAATGTACATAGCCTCGAGTTCTGAAATGGACGACTGAATTATAATTATACATAAACATGATAACAGATTATTTACATAAATTATTATGCTTTATGCAACTCTGATTAAACACCACAACATTCTTAAAATTAACAATTGTCTTATTTGTTATTTCAGTGAGTAAAACTTACACAAATGAAGAACTTCTGCCTAATTTTACGACATGAATGGTTACAAATAAACCTCAGGTATTCCTGGATCAACTATCTCCTAGACTCTAATAGCTAAATTACCTTTACTTCGAACATAAAATTAATTTCAATAAAGCATTTTAAGGTTTTTTATTAAAAAAACACTACGAAATAGAATAAGCGCTTACCGAAGGCGCAGATGGCCACAAAGGCGACCATGGAGAACCAGATGAGGACCTTGGAGATGAACCGCAACAAGAAGATCCAGACCAGCGACACGGCCATGGCCAGCACACAGAACCCGATGATGAGGTGCCATGTCGCTTTGATGTCTTCGAACGCTCCCTCTGCTACCTGTGTCGTTCATATGTTTTATTATTATTAGGTGAATTGAAACTTAATGAAATAATGAAAAGTAATCTGCTCGGAAATTTTGGTAAGGATGCAGTACCATAAATAACCATTAGTTCATCGTGGTCTTAGCAAAGATTCACAAACATCAAAGCACACGCGTGAATTTTAGTAATAAAGACATCGGCAGGTTTAGTTGCCCGTGGCAAATTACAATAAAATTTATGGAGAAGATAAAGCAGAAAAATAAAAAAAAATGTTCAAACCTCATACTCTGAATCTCGGATACTGACGTGCGTCGTGTGAATAACATTGGAACGAAGTGTGATTTACCAGCCCTAGTTTATTAAAGTCTCATTAGGGTAATGGCTAATGTGACAAGATTATAACAAGAATCACAGTGAGAGGTTTTGATATCACTGTTATTTTTTTCAGATAACTGAGTCGGGAGTAATATAGAAAATCTCTACCTATACAATCTCAACACAACCTACAAACCACACGGCCTAGTGCTTCGAGTGCACTTTGCAGGTATAGTGAAGAGCTAAATACTAAAGATTGCCATGACAATCACTAGTGCTTTCAGCAAAATTTATCCTGTTCATTCTTAAGCGTAGCCTTTAACTATTGACGAAAAGTTCCTGAAAATTCATTTGGCTACTGATGACAAAACAAATCATACTGAATAAAAACCATGCAGAATAGGCTTTAAAAAACCTCAAGCTACGGGCACCAATCACATGATAATTGTGAAGTATTATGTTTATTCACATTTGTAATTATTTTAAGAAGAAATCGAGACATCTTGTCCAAAAGTTTGAGGGAACGTTACACAGAAAAGTTGAATAAGTTTATAAATTATCAAAAAAATTAGACGCAAAAAATTATATGAACGAATAATAACAGGCAAGGCAAATATTATCACAATTCAGACGTAGGATCTCTAAATCATTTCAAGTATTTACTCAACATAAATTATTGAATATTTCGCGTGCATTTGAGGAAGTGAATATGTTAATTATAGAAACAAACCATAACATGCAGTACTTTCAACAAATGTTGAAAGCAAGCCTTTAAAATTAAATAGAATCACATGCGTTCAGAAATAAGAGCGACGGATTAGCAAAGCTCCATGCAAAATACCAGAAAATGGAATTTGAGGAAAAAAAGAATATAGCATTTCTAACATAGTCGAAGAAAGGTATTTTCGTTTTCATAGTCATCTTTCACACTACGCGTTCTCATTAAATCTAGATATCTAAATGCAATCAATTCAAAACATTGAATAAATAAGGATTCTTCAAGTAAGGTAACATTTTAATCTATAATAATTTCAAATTGCGAGTCGGATAGCCCAGTTCAGCGTCTGAGAACGCCGCTTTTGCTCGTATGTAGAAATGATTAATTATTGTAAGCCTTCCAATAAGAGATACACAGGTGCGATTATCTGGCAACATTATTGTACGCTTTTTTCCCAACAGCGATCCACGAGAAAAGATCGTCATAAATTAATGGCCGCGAAATCAGAATTCGAGAGGAAATAACCATGAGGAAAATGTGCGGCATGAAGTGCTGATGCTTGGCACAGAGATCCATAATACTGTATTAGAGGCATGAGGATGGAACGACACAGTAAATTCGAGAAAACAAGCTATTCACTTTAACAGAAGAGAAACGTAACACAACAATCGCATAGCTAATTAAACCAATCAATAACCAAAGTTAATTCTCAAACCAAAGGAACAGTAACATTAAAGCCAAAGAGAAAATTACACACTATACCGTAAAAACTTAGGTAAACGTATACCAACTCAAGAAAAGAATGGGTGCAAAAAAAATGTTTTGCTTTTATATGGACGAGTAAGGTAACGGATGACCTTTAATTGGAAAAAGCTTGGGTAAAAACACAACACCAACTCAAATAAAAAAGCGTGCACATGTGTAACCACGTGCTTGAATTTTCGCTTAAAAAAAATTAGACTCGCAACATTGCTTTTATAGCCGTGCAAAGTAGCGGATGACCTTGGATCGTGAAAGCTTGAGCAAAAACGCAACAAGAATTATGATTACTGCACACGAATGTCAGCGAATTTTTATTACTACGGCATTATGAATTGTAATTACCGCTTTAGTTTTATAGAGGTGGGCAAGATAGCGTATGGCCTTAGCGAGCAGCTCGGCGGTGACGGGGACCTGCTCGGCCGTGGTGACAGCGGCGCCTGAGGCGTCCTGGATCGCAGCGCCCAACTCTGCGATCTCGGGCAGACAGCGTCGCGCCACTGCACAGCGTGCCGACCAAGCTTTAGCCACAGCCACAAAGCAATGTGGCATAGCCGCACAGCCATGAGGCTCAGAAGTACAGTCGCAAAGCAACAGGGGGCTAAAGTCAGGAGCACAGTCGCACAGCAATGGAGGCTCTTCCCTCCAACTTTTGTTCTTTATAAAATATTCGACAAATTGGAAATGGAGACTAGAGACGACACAAAATTCCAAATTTATATTTCTTCGAACCTGATTCTAGAAATTCCGCAAGCACAAATAAATAAATCAGACGAACGGTCAAAACACATCAATGGATAACATGACAATGAAGAAAGATTAGAGTGCTGAAAATTTGAGCAAATTTGCCACAGAAATTGTTTTAGAAGCATAGGCTTATAATAACTGCCGGCATGAAGTGGCAGCAGTAAAAATCCTTAAAGAAAAAAGTGATACTTTGTACAGATAGCGATGCACTTTTTGCCTTTGTTCGGATTATCTTGACCTAGTTTGGCCCGACAAAAGTGCGTGCGTATAGTGGAACGTTCGCCCTTTGCTGGTGCTGCGTGTTAGAAAACGAGTCTTTAATGAGACAATTTGACAAATTAATTTTTTGAGCAACAGGCTCATACTGTGCATGGAATGAACCTTCATTGAACCTTTGACGGCTACAGCGACTATTGTTATCAGGCCTAATATATGAATAAGATATTGACGCACATACATAACATTGTCGACAATTGATGCATCCATGTGCAAAGGGATAACAACCGGTCACTTTTATAGTGCAGGATCATGCGTGTGACAGATTACAGGAATGGAACTGATCCAACAGTGTCATTTGATCACAGCTGGTCATTAATCTTGGGCAGAGATGGCGATCATATATTTGAGTCATTAAAGATTAATAGTTTATGAAATAGACAAAAGAACATTCAAATTTATAATTTTCATCTGAAGCCGCGCAAGAAATATGAATCCTCCTCGACTTTCAGGCTAGATAAGGAATGAATAAGGAATATCTCACTAATTGATTACACCCAAAAGAAACATCGCGTGATTGTTTGCAGAGTAAACTGAGCATGGAAAAGTAGAGCAATTACATTGTTTTCCATGTTTATTAATTCGTCAATAAGTTCTAGAACAGAATGGAAACATTGCTGCAAAGATGCAAAAACTATGATATGGAATGAAACACGCGCACTCGTACGCTAGTTTCTTGTACGAGGTAAATTTTTTTTAGACATTATCAGATTTCCATCAGGTGCTGATAAATCCGAAAAGATATGCAGGGAACGTCAATTTAGGTATTATTTTCAGCGTTCTTAAAGTTGCAGTATTTCCATATGACCCTCAACCGACTACACTATACACTAGCAAGCCACGTCACAGTCGCTGGCTTACACCAATAAATGACACAAGATTCTAACCAAGAAGTAGAAGTAACCTTCAGCCGGTGCTCAATATGACATTATTTTCCGTAATAGCCATTGGCGAGATAGGAAATGTGTTAATTTATATATTTCTTGGTTCAAGCCTTGAAGCATTTCAAACATCCATTGCATCATGCAATATTCCACAAATGCAGTTTTTACTTGCACAATTCGATAAATTTTCTCTCGTTACAACTTTACTCCCCACCAACGCCCAAAAAACCAGAGATGCTGACAGGAAGAACACATCTGGCCGGCAAGCAGGTTAGAAAAGCCAGAGAATAATTTACCCCAACACGCATTAACAAGGTTAGAAAAGCAAAGTAACTGGGTAAAAAATGGCATTAATTACACTACGGGAATACCTCTTGCCAATATGCAAAGCGCATGACATATTTCATAGAGCGCATGATCATGTCAAACTTCTGAGTAGACGACTGGTTGGCATATGCTGCGTCAATAGAATTGATGATGTCAACTGTGTGCTCGGTGACGCGTTCAGGAATGCAGCGACGACCAACTACACAAAATGTTATTACAATTAAATGAAAAACCTTCACTGTGGCTACACTACCTGGCATTTGCTTGAGCTTAACTAAACTTAAGCAGTCACCTAACAATAGAGAGATTACACATCTGCTAAACACGCGCCATAGGGAGTGTGTTTGAATAATTCTAGCAAATTAGTTTAATTCCTTTACAGAATTACAGTTTTGGTTGAAAACTTTCACGGAACAAGTAAATTAAAACTTTACCTAAATGCGTTTAAACTTGAAGGACAGATCTGCTTCTCAGAAAGTGTAGAACGCAACGGCACGCGAACATAACTTGCAATACTTTGAACGCAGTTGACAAAGCATCAATCAGTAATTTAATTAACAGTAGCGGGAATAAAATAATACAGTAACTATAAATTTAAAAAATAGATGAAAAAAAGAGAGATGCGGACGACACTATGCCTCCAAAATCTCTAAAAGTGAAGTACCAAATTAAAGAGTCTATCCTTCACGACAGATTTGGGGAACTAAGGGGTGAAGGGGGAATAAGGGATGGGAGAACAAAGGGATGAAGGGGGAATAAGGGATGGGAGAAGAAAGGGATGAAGGGGGAATAAGGGATGGGAGTACAAATGAAAGGAGGGGTGGAATATGGGATGAAAAAATAATGGAATGAATTAGGGATTAAGGGATGGGAGCTGAAAGGAATGAAAAGGAGGAATAAGGGATGGGAGAAGAAAGGAATGAAGGAGAGAGGAATAAGGGATGCGACACTAACCTTCACGGCTGCGCACATAATAAAATGCACATTTGCCATTAAGTACGAGGTCCGAGGTCTTAATGGAGGTGTTGAAGGGGTCCACGTCGTACTGACACTTGAGGTTACGGCGGACCTCAGCGTCGTCCGTGGTGGGGGAGTAGAACCAGTTCTTGTCGGGGCATTTGTCCACACAGATCTGCAATATGGTACTATATTGAATATTGTGTATTGAAGAATATTGAACATTGTAGAATATTAAATATTGAAGACTTGAACATTGCAGAATATTAAATGCTTTAAATTACATAAATAAGCGCAACATGTGACAAGTGATTATGACAAGATAGCATCCCTAGTACGATACAAACGATAGCATTCCTAGTGCTATACAAACCTACTGAACAAGGACAGATGAGATTCATAAGACACAGGTTACAACCTTTCATCCAAGAGAGATAATGTGATACCCATTCAGAAGCGTCAAGAGATTATTCTCACGAAACTTCTGTACTGCAGTAGTAACGAGTGCTGTACTTCAATGAATCGGCAAGTGTGCTGCATGGGGTGTAGCTGTTGGGTCACTCAGGCTGTGCATTGGTCTATTCACCACAAGCGCGACAGTTTGTGTAGATATCATTACCACTTTTACATTAGTTCCTGCTATTAAATCTTGAATGAAAATGACAGGAAACCAGAGTAAAGTGAATATGTAATCAGATCCTATTCTGAAATCTCTATTTGTTACATCGATTTCTCTGCACAAGTGGTAAAATTCTCATCAAAAGTAAATATTAATTTTATAATATCGTAATCTTAATTCACAACTTTTCCTGGCTTAATACCAGCTCGTAAATTTTTAAAATAAATCTCTCCAAAATTTCAATTTAACAATCACGGAAGTTATAAGGACAAGAGAAAAGCGTCACCCAATGGGTATTATTCACAGTGAACATGCCCCACACTTATCACGGCAATAACATAGTTAATCTCACCAAAGCAGAAGTGAAACAGCTGACATGGATTTCGTCAAGCACCAAGCAAATATAACAATGACCGAGTATTGTCAATGTCATTTGATTTGTTAATGTGAAATCCAGCTTCAGAAGCTTGAATTTCATGTTGAATCATGCACGATGAATAATGACCAAATAGTCATTATAGCAAATAATGTAATATAATATGCAAATATAATAAGGAAGCAAATATAATAAGGAAGCAAATATAATAATGATTTGTTAATGCGAGACAAACCTGTGGAGTAGGGCAGCCAGTAGAGGCCTTAAGTGTGGCACAGCGCGTGAGGTCAAAGAAGAAGAGGTAAGGCTTCTTCTCCACTACAGGGTCCCGGCCATAAGGAGAGACTAACCTGTGGTGTAGGGCAGCCAGTGGAGGCCTTAAGTGTGGCACAGCGCGTGAGGTCAAAGAAGAAGAGGTAAGGCTTCTTCTCCACTACAGGGTCCCGGCCATAAGGAGAGACTAACCTGTGGTGTAGGGCAGCCAGTGGAGGCCTTAAGTGTGGCACAGCGCGTGAGGTCAAAGAAGAAGAGGTAAGGCTTCTTCTCCACTACAGGGTCCCGGCCACACACCTGACCCCGGCTGTCCGTGGGGTACACGAGGCGGCTGGGGTCGCCATGGATTATTCCTGCCGGCAAAAAGAGGATCAGGCAAAGGCAATAATATCTATCTGGTGGCAGTACAATAAAGTTAACTAGAGGAATAAAAGAAGTATAATTTATTTCAGAACACTGAAGGTTCCCTGACAGAAGAACAAATATATTCCCTTCATAACAGAATGATAAAATGTATTTCATACCGGACAAAAAGGATACATTCACACAATACACCAAACACAAATAAACACAACTCTTCTATAGATTCAGTAAAAGAAAGAATTAAAAAATAAATACAATGAACGACACACTTCCGTCCATTATCAGCCCAGAGCAATTGATTCCTGAACTCACAACTTTTCCTCTCACGCAACTTTGCAGAGACCATCACTCCGCACTTGACACGCACAAATGCTAACCAGATCACACACCAAAACATTCACGCTCATCGCTCGATGTGTGACATTCTGTGTGACCTGGTACATTATTGCATTCCTGACTTCTGTTATCCAGCCAGGCATATTCTAGTGGAATAACACATTTCTTTTTGCAGTGCACACACCTTTTTCTCTTAGCAAATCATTCAACATTAAGCAAGACAAGTGCCAAAAGAATAATTACACATTTGTCACAGAATAGATGAAAAATGTAACGATTAAGAAAAATATAAAAAAAGGCTAAACAGGAATATGATCATTAGCCACTTCTGATTACATCTATCCTTGTTTGAATTACTGGAAATTATTGAATAGCATTTAATGCCTAGCTTATTAAAAAAATTAAACAGGCCTCCTTCAAGTCAAACGGTCAAATGCAATATATCTAAAAGTGCTACTCTTTAGCTCACCAAATGCCGCCACGACGCCCCAGCCAACAAGGAACATCACGAAGAGCAGCAGGCACAGGATGTCAGTGCAGGATCGTGACTTCACAGGCCCTTTGAAGTCAGGGTCAAACTCATGGGCAGTTCCTGCAATGGGAAATCGTTGTGAGAAATCAATGCAAACCAAATTCATGTTCAAATTAATTATGAGAAGTTCCAGAGGAAAACACAAATAATGAAATACAGTAATAGGAACTATTTAAGGGATATTAACTTGTAACTTCAATGCTATTAATATCGAAGTATCATACTTACATGTATGATGTATGTATTTCCACCAAAATTTCTGTATTCAATGCTTCCAATAACTTGAAAATGAATGTCATTATATTCAAAACATTGTTAATAAAATAAAATTACTTCCTTAAACCTGTATTTTACCACGTTTTTCTTAGCTTCGTTTCGTGTCTGTCTGTCTGTCATCAAAAATTCAGACCTTAATTTAGAGCTCTTCTGAACATCCTAGAAACTTGAAATTTGGCATGCATGCTTATGCTGCCTAACAATTCAAGATTTGATCATCAGAAATTATAATTTTGAAAAAAAAAATTTTAGAAAAAAAAATGTAAAAAACACTGAAAATTCACGGTTTGGAATTGAGTTTTTTCTCGAACATCCACACTTGTCAACCATGGAAATTGATTTGAATTGCTAAAATTGCTAAGTAAAAAGTATAAAATAAATAAATATAGAATAATATATTTAAAACCACATTTTTCTTGTTTTTAAAAAGCTAAAAATAATGAAATAAAACAAATAAAAAAAACTTTTAAAAACCACGTTTTCTTTACGGACAAAAAAGAAAAACATTTACTCTTACATAACATTTAAGTTATGTAAAATGTAATGTAATGGTATGTAAGAGTAAATGTTTTTCTTTTTTGTCCGTAAAGAAAACGTGGTTTTTAAAAGTTTTTTTTTTTTGTTTTATTTGATTAACTAATGTCATCTGGAGAATATCATTTGACCTTAAAAATTTAAATAGATTAATTCTCTGGCCAATAACCACCAGTGTATAAACATGCTATAAATATGGTATACATACAAAAGCATAAACATCATAGCAACATCTTTAAAATGCTGTGAAAATTCATGGACATGAACTAACTAGTCAAAACTCCCTTCTCAAGCAAGTTGTCAATTTCATAAATTTACACTCGTAAATTACTTACTTCCCTAAACAATCATTCTTTAAAGGGATTAACTATATATATACATAACTGAACTAGGTACACACCTATCAAATAACATTCCTTGTGAAATTAACTGGCAACAAGTGTACAAAATTCCCTACAAGACAAGAAGCCTACATAATTAAAATCTTTCATTTTCAGCAATTGTAAAATTTCCATCACTGATGAGAGAGTATAGAACATAATTAATGTTAAAAGTCATTCAAACTTTCGTGATTTGAATGAATGAATGGCGGATTCAAAGAATGAATGGCAAGGTTGAATCCACAATTTTCAACATGAGTAACTTGAACCCTAAGTAAAATTCAGTAGCTCAAGAAAATAATAAATAATTATCACTAAACACAAAATTTTCCAAATTTACTAGTTCAAGAAATCAGAGCTCCTGATATTAAACAGATTATTAAACAGATGCACAGATGATATTAAACAGATGCACAAGCTAAAGAATTAATCACTAAATAACCCATGTAAGAGTAGCAGTTAGAACATAAATACTGTGACACAATCATACAATAAATACTGTATGTAAAAATCATAATTTACCATATTTGTTGACTTCATCTTCCACCTTGTCACCCATTTTATAGGCCTGCACAAACAATAAATATAATATAATAGAAAAGCATATGACACCATCAGCAATAAATTTAAGAAAACTTGGCACACATTAACCAAATTAGAAGCCAAGTACCCAAATATATAATTTGCATGGAAATTTATTCTTAACTGCTTATTAGTTTGAATGATAACCTACATTTGAAAAACATCCAGAATTATAGCCAGGATATTGTATTTTTCAACTTTTTTATATTTGACACCACAGAAGTAAGTAATACTCACCAGTTAGAGAATCAAGTGACAGAAATTATGTATATATATAAGATGCTACAAACGTCATGAACAATATATATGTAAAATCTGTAAAATATACAATTATCTCAAGAGTACAAATAATTTTCTATGCCTTCAAATTATTGAACAAGATTTAAGTACATAATTAGGTTCCAGACCTAAAATCCTCAAATTATACACATCAACAAGCTATGCATTTTTTCCATATCAGGCTATGAGTGTTTATGCATCAACACAAAACAAAGAGTCAATATTATGGCCTAACAATATAAAAAAAACCTTTGTTTATATCATTATTTATCTTAAATTAAAAGTTGTCAAAGAATTCAAAAGCAAATAAGATGCCATGCAACTTTACTACATATTTGTCAAGAATGATTTGGAAACCAGCTCCACCAGCATTCAAAATTCACAGAATACACTACTAAATTAATTAGTCTAAACACTCAACAGAATAAATCAATGTAAGATTTATTAATAAAATAAAGAAAGACTCAAAGAATGTTAGTTAACTGAAAATCTGAAATTAAAACAATATAGTAAATTTTACAAATAAATTATAGCTGTAGGCTGTTGAAGCTGTGACTAGAGCTTTTCAGGCCTTTTTTGAGCTGCAAGATTCCTACTGGATAACTTATCTTGTATTTAATTAAGTAAGAGCACAAACCACACACCAATCACAACAAAGCTACCAAATGGTGGACAGGCAATTTTTGCTTCAGCATGCAGGAGGCAATAAAACCAATTGCCTCTCATGGTAGCTTAATTTGATTGACATGTGTTTGGGAAGGAAGGAAAATAACTTAAAACTATGATGTCACCATCTTGCTTTTTGAGAAATTTGTATTGTCTACTTGCTCGGCTGGGATTAAAAAATGGTACCACTTTATGCAAAAAATAAACTTTGATATTGCATGGAGGAGATGTTAATGAAAGATGATAGGAAATCAGGATTACAGTTTATAGGGCATGGTCTCCAAATTTCAGAGCTCTACAACTAGTCGTGGAGTTATTTCTAGAAGCCACAAAAAAAGCAATTTTTGAGGCCAACGTCTGTGCTGCATGCGTTTGGTAATGGCAATACAGTAATTCATGTTCAGCCATGTGGTAGTGTTAGTGTTTCACTTTCAGTGATCATTTGTGATGTGATTCATTCCCGTTTTTATTCATATTGAAAAGTTTAGGAGTTTATTGCATATAATTGACTGACCAGGATGATTTTACCATTAGAAAGACATTGTTACATGAAATTGTTTACTTGCACCTACCCCCCTGATGCAACTTGTCAAGTTCAATTGAATGCCATTGCAGCAATGGCGTTTGGTGATACAGTACTACTAGTACTGTCAAACGGGGTAATAAGGGATGGGCAGGGGTAAATCGGGCATGCATCCCACATTTTGTAAAAATGTTGTAGCAGCCAAACTAATAAAAATATTGCAAAACTAAAAATAGTGGTGTAAACTTCAACATTTTTATTATCTGTTATGTATAAAGCTAGTTAAGAAATCATACATTTATTATCTCTAAAAATACTGAAATAAGTGTGAAAAGTGCTATTTTTGGAAAAGTACCTCTACTAAGGTCTGGAGCAAAAAAAAATATTTGCCGTATTAAAAAATGTTACTAACATAAAAGTTGCACACAGGTGTTGGCTTGAAAACGCGATTGAGGGAATTTGCCTATCTCATTAAAAAAAATGGCAGCCATTTCCAAGCGATGGGGTAACAAGGGTCTTGCAAATGAACTCACGGAGTTTCCGTGCTGAATACCCCAAGCCCCAAGGTAATAAGCTAAATAAGGGACACCCCTAAAAATGCATTTACAGTTTAACCTCAGTTAGCAAAGGCTTCAGTTATTGAAAAAATTATTTAACAACAAAGAATTTGGATTACATTTACCTTGTTCAGCAAAAAATTTCACTAATAAAAAATTAATGCATTGTCAGTCATCACAAAATTGTGCACAGAATGTCATATATAGAATTGTACACAGAATGTCATATATAGAATTGTACACAGAATGTCATATATAGAATTGTGCACTGGGTATCATACTAGAATGAAAAGTAATTAACCTAAAGTATGATTTATATCTCCAAAACATATGATGGTTGTTTCTAAAACATTCCATTCTTTTTCAGGTATTTTTTACAATCTTTTTCATAGTGAATTCACTAAACCCAATTAAAATGGTGTAAAATTACACACCGTCCTGTAAGCTTACAGATATATACAGAAGAAGTGCTACATGGCTGCTGATATGAAGCTTGCAGTGGACAAGGTTGTTGTAAATGCTCAATGGCATGTTCATGGATACAGTGTAATATCACATAAATAATACAGTAATGAATAAATAATGTGTTATCAATATCATATCAATAGACGGTAAATAAGTAAAGAAACACAGAAAATGTCATTTATTCTACATCTACAATTCTACATCATCTACAATGCAAGAGGACTTCAAAGTACTGTTAGTAATGGATGATTACCTACACTCTGCAGGCTTCAAAAGTTTTAAAATACAGTTTTATTTAAGGTGTCTGAGATTACCCCGTTTGGGACGGTAATTTAGGATGGTTTTATTTTGTGCCTGGCAGTGGCACCTTATCCTTAACCTTATGAATAGCATTTAGAATTTTTTTAATATGCCATTTGATAGCCTACACAATGAGCCTAAACTTGTTTAGAAAATGTATCATGGTGAGAAGTTATTAGGTAACAAAAAATGCTCAAAACCGTCCCTTATTACTCCGTTTGATGGTACATGTATTATTATTAATTTATTATTATTATTATTACAATTTAATATCATCTTTAGTATTTATAATTAGGGTAAACGCGGTATATTCCAACATCATGGGTAATTCCGACACCTCTCTAGTTTTTCCTTTACACCTATTAAGCTTTGTTTTAGTTCCATGCGTTCGTTGATGGTTGAAATAGTGACATCATACATTTGTGTGTCAAACTACTGCCAAAACACTAGGTTTGGGCCATCTAGTGGGAAAATGTTCAGATCCAAAGAGAGACGGTGCATGCCACCCAATGAGATCATCGAAAAATGTGTCAAAGTTGACAGTTGACCTTGCTCTACCAAATAGTGATAAACTGTTTGTGTAGATTGTAGAAAGAATACTATGGTTTGAGACTTTTAAATACGTCTGTGAATATATTAGGAATCCTTTAACACGTTCCCCGCGTATCCAGATTTCCCCAGTATTCCCTTATTGCGGAAGGCTTTCAGTGGTTGCTGCTTCAGTTAGACGCCATTGGCCGGGACAAGAGGAGGTGTGTGCAGCTCTATGGCATCATAGCTTTGCATAGCTGCAATAAAAATGTTGGGACGCATGTGGTACATTACGCAAGCAAATAATAACCACATGTTGTTCTTGCGTATTGTACCACCGGTGTACCAAGTATTTATTGAGCCTTATATGTACCATAATAGAATCGAAGGAAATATAGGGGAATAGAAGGGAACAAAAGGGAACAGATAGGAACAGAAGGGAATAGAAGGGAACAGAAGGAAATATAAGGGAATAGAAGGAAATATAAGGGAATAGAAGGAAATATAAGGGAATAGAAGGGAATAGAAGGAAATATAAGGGAATAGAAGGGAACAGAAGGGAATAGAAGGGATTAGAAGGGAACAGAAGGGAATAGAAGGGAACAGAAGGGAATAGAAGGGAACAGAAGGGATTAGAAGGGAATTATTAGTTAGAAATTTTACAGTTACTTATCGTTTGTTCAAGGAGATTTACGAATAAAATTTTGGTCCATTGATTTGTTCTACTTAATAATCCACTTTTTGAGTGAACAATAATATTATAAAAGAAAAAGTTTACGTGCAAAATTTCGAGTTACATGTGTTTTATCAAAACGGCATAAAATACTGCGTTTGGTACACTGGTGTCCCAATACGCAGCAGTGGAATATCACTGTTGGTACACATATGGCCCAATGCGCGGGGAACGTGTTAAGTATACTTGTATTTGCTGATTTCAAGTGGTAAATAAATTAATAAATGATTAAGTTGAGAAACAGATTTAGACACATAAAAACTAATTCCGACACAACTTGAATTGGACACACACAGCTCGTTCCAAGCTGTGTGCAAAAATTAAAATTTTCCTAATTAAAAGCTTAATAACTGTTAATTAAAAGCCTAATTAAGTAGTGCTCAATATTCAAGAGTGTTCTAATTCAAAGCCGTGTCGTATTCCAATACAGCGCACAGCAGGCTGGAATTCTAAAATTTGTGGTTCACATAAAAAAAAAGCGTTCTGCCTTAAAAAAAACGTTCCAGGCAACTAGAAACAGGTTTGCAGGCCGTCAGAAATCAGCTTCGGTTGGGGTAGCTAGGATCGTATGAACGTCAAGTCAGGCAACACAGAGAAGGTCCCATGCAAGATCGTTAATTGTGCGCATCACTCACAGATGAGCAAGAGGGATGGATCTACAGAAGGAAATACTATTTACTCAACATAATAGTTTCAAATTAAATATAAAAAAATAGTTTATGACACCTATTCATTACCTCAGCTTTCAAATTGAGGAGAAACTCATCGGCAGTTGGAGAAACTTCTCGAAGAAAAGGTAATGCATAACAAACAACATGACACTTCACAGTTGACTGACTAGAATAGACTCAATAGTCAATAGAGTACTCGAAAGTCAAAAATTTAGCATTCAAACATTTAGATTCTGTGAAACTTGTGATTTCTTCATTATTAATAGGTACTTTAGAAGGCTCACAATATATCAAGTAAAGTTTTCACTCAATTATCGTCTCAAGGTTTGGGAGCTTTATCTGCAGTAATGTTCTGTAGTTACCTTACCCACCGATTGCTTAATGAGAACTAACCACTACACTAACCATCATTACATTCCCGCCACTGTTGCACACGATTGATTCTGCATGCATGTATAATATTTACGAAGATTAATTAACCATTCTGATTTCTGTTGAATGTCAGTTACTGATAAATTTTTAATATAGAAGAATTTGTATCTTTCATTTTGTCACATGACTATATTGATGTCGGTTTCACAT